GGGAATTGCTTTGTTGTGTACTTTACTGTTCTTCATTTGCAAAGTCCCTTTTCAGACTTCACCCCAATGGATCAACAAGCTAAGATTTTTCTCAGGTCTTGTATTTTAGCCTGTCTGCAGAGAGTGTTCCTGTAACTGGATTAGGAGAACCCATGAATATCGAGACAGAATGAGCTGGGATTTCAGCAGCTGTGTTGTCTAATGGCACTAGAATATCAGCCAGTTACGTGCTATCTTAGGCAGGACTGTTTCAGACCTCATGGCCTAGATTGTCTGGACCATTAAGGTAATTTTTAAATACAAATTAATTAAAACATAAACAAATAGGAAATTAGTTTTTCTTCCTATAATTTCTGTCCAAATGCATGTGTGCGCAAAACCAATCAAGCAATCTTTATCTAAGCACTCTCCTTCATTTGCCTCTGCTGGCTTTTTGGTGACTACCAGCCACAGCGGGGTGAGGCAGACATTTACCCATCTTGCCACTACCCTTGGATGAACACATCAGCCTGCAGCATATAATAGGCAGAAGACAGCCAGAGAAATACAAGAGAAGAAAGATCTCTTTAACAGAGAAGAGAGGACTGCAAATACCTTCGAGGACAACGTTTCCTTTTTCATCCCTAAATATTTGCAATCAATACAGCTTCAGTATTTCACAAGCTAATCAATAATGCAGTGACAGTGAAAGAGATGTGAGGGTCTTTTTAGCGGCTACAAACTGGCAATGATGCTTTGATGGCTCCTACTGAGGATTTATCATTTCTTGGATAATCTCCTGCAGAACACTGTGGGGCCTGAGAGTTTAATATACTGTATGGCTATAGGAAGGAAACTGGACAGATGACTGCACTTTATCTTAATTCCCTATAGCATCATGTGCCAAGGAAATCAAAGGTAAAACAAAAGCATGATACACGTCTAAAAGTATGAATACAGTGTACAAAGACTGTTTGGACATTTAATAAAGCTAAGCTGGTCCATAAAAGGTAAGACAGGGCAAGGGTGTTATGAGGAGCCACAATCCTGTTTTGCCATTGTCCTTGACATGAGGGACTTCAGAGGGACTTTATTATTAACTATTATTATTAGACTATATTATGAACTATTTCAGAGACACACACAAGCTAAACATCTCTCCCTTTTCACACACGTGCAATTCACTAACTTCAAGAGGGCTGCTTCTGTGAATAAAATGGGAACAACTTGCCCCTAAATAAAGAATCACATACAGTACTTAATAAATAGGAACAGAAGAGGTCACATCTCCAAAGTTTAATACATTTTGGTCCAAATGCAGACCTTGGCCCCTGGCTCAAGTGTCCAGAACATTTACTGAGATGTGCCACCCCTGGGGGACGGGATCTTCCATTCAGACATCTCTACCGCTACGCAGAACACTGCCGCTCGCACACAGCATAATCCTCCCAGGACAAGGAGATACAGGCTGTGCACAGCAGCATATTGTGACAATACCAAAGTCCTCCTCCTTCTCCTTGAGGCCGTGATGTAGGGCCCTAATAATATGTCCAAGAGCAGTCACACAACATGTAAAATCTCATCATTTCACCTGCCCAGGAACCCTCTAGGCCTGAAAGGACTAAAATTATTCCTCACCCATTCTCCTTTCTCACTTTTCTGTCATTGTATAAAAGCCTTTCTAGATTTCCTGAAGTTTGTTTTGCAATTATTTACTACCTCCAAATAATTATTATACATATATGAAATTCTACTTTAAGAAAAAATGGTATATTAATAAATACATGCTGCAACATATCCCAGTTGCTACTGAAGAGATTCCTGATCATCCTGCATTACATGTTACAGCTATGTATTTTTCAAAGGAACACAATCCAGCATTTTCAGTTTTTCATACAGCCAAGCAGTAATTGTGGTATCATTAACTTTTTCATTTTTATCACACTACATGTTAATACACTGTACATTTGCTCAATTTCCACAAGTAACTACGTAAGTGTAAATACAAAATATGAAAATCATCTGATCACATACAGCATATTTTTCAGTCTTACAGCCCGTCCTAGTCTTGTCATTACAACATTAACTAGCTTTAAAAATTCTGCTAACACTCAGAGCACTTTAGCAATTGCTTTCCTAATGTATTAATGCAATTGGTATTTCCAGATTCTCAGAGGTTTAACCTTTTTCTTCTTTGCAGTTTATAAAAAAATATAAAGCAACACCCAAAACCCCCCAAAACAGGTGTGCATGAGTCTGTCAATGTACCTGAAAATTTTCAATAATCTTTTTAAAAAAATTCAGATAATCAACACAACTGTACTGTTAAAACCAGTGAATTCTCAATTAAATTGTCAAGTAGCCTTAAAATAGCTCATTTTCTGAAATTCATTCATTTGTTTTTAACTTAGGAATTTTTAAAGCTTGTTAAAATATTATGGCAAAACCATCAGACTAATACGTGTCAAAATGAATGATGATATTAACAACAAAAATTATATTTATGGTCTTTTACAAATCACAGTATCCAGTTCAATGACACACAAAGATTTATAACAAAACCAGTCTCACAAAACTACAGAACCCTTTAAAAGCAGCATTTCTGCCATCTTCAACAGGCTTTTGCAGCTTGATAGGTACAGACAATTTGTATTTCATACAGCCAATGGTCATTAAAGACACCCCCTCCCATATTTCTCTTAAATTGCATAAATTGGAAAATTGTTCATTTCCTCTTCCTCCAGCTCTGTTTTCATGTGTGATGAATTTAGGGATGTTTTGCTGAAAATGGGCAAAAGATTATACTACATACAGATATGCCTGCTGAAAACAATTCAATGAATTAAAAATAACCACGGACTGCAACTGACCTTTTGTGTAAACCATATATCTCTATATTTTTGACATGCCTTAATGATTATTAGAGTTTGGTTCAATGAAAGCGACTGAAGAGTACAATATTTAGCATTTGTTTTACATTATTTACAATTTCAGTGTTCTATTTACAGAGGTTTATGATCCCCATCCTGGAAATCTTATTCACATGAATAATCCAATCTCATGTAAGTATTCTGAATGAGAGACACAGGACTGACTCTTTCATTCTGATATAAACACAAGATAAACGGGTAGACAAACTATATAGATCAACTTAGGTAGTGGATGCCTCCTTACTGGAGACAATGTGTCTGCTATCTGTACAGCGTTTATAGGCAGATGAGCACAGCAATGTTGAATCCAAAGTCCTGACAAGCTCCAAGAGCTCTGCAATACTTCTGATGAAAACATCTTACAATCAGCTCTACGCTGCATGTACCCACTCCTCTCCCAAAACAAAAAGTTCCCTATATCTCCAGCACCACGGTGTGCATAAACACATTTTTTCAATATTATGCTTCAAATGTTAATTCTCATCAATACACAGATCACAGCCTAGGATGTTAGGATGTATTAAATATGGGTTTACCTCTATGAGGAAAAGGGATATATGTAACATCATTTCCATCCTAAGTCCAGTTTTTAACTAAAATTACCATGGAAATGTATGTTTTGTTCGTTTTTGTATTAAATAAATGGAGAACCACAACTGTGAAAAATACTTCTGTGGCTAGTGACTTTTTTAGTTTTGAAAATTAAATTCTGTAAATACATGTCAAGATATTATTTACAAGGATTTTTAAACAACAAATCTTAACAACACATGGAATAAGTATACATACAGAAATGTGTTAGAAATTATACACATTTCTAGTTCAGAGCAGATGCAACTATTGCCACCATCTTCCTTACTGGAACTTTTTCTTTTCAGTTCAAAGGTTTGCATACAAGGTTTGTGCGCATGGATTTTCTGACATTTTCAGGATCGAGCCTTACAAACACTCAAGTAACTTTCTCCGGAGGTATAGTCCAACTCTGCTCCAAAGCTTCTCATCTTAGTCAAGCTGCTTACACATTTGCAGAATTCAGCCCTCGGTATAGATTCAGATACATGTGGCTAAATGGGATTTGGCTACCAATTTCACAATGTGGCATTCTGTATCAGACAAAGCAACAAAGATGACTTGTTCTCCTGTGTGAGCTGTAAATACCAACCATCACACCACTTAATAGGTTTATTTCATTAATAGCATATATTTAAAGTCTCCAATGCAAGTTTCTTTTGAACGATGACAGGCTGGTAAATTCTTAAAAGATAATAATCAGCAGTGGAGCAGTTCTTTGATGGTCTGTAATTACCCAACTGTCCACTGTTTGAACGACAGCAGCAAACTACCACTCACTGTTAGTTTATTTTTATTTATAACTTGTACTTTAGGTAAGAATCCATTAATTACAAGCAAAACAAATTGCTTACTTGAAACACTTCCCACAGAGGCTTGTTTTTTTACATGCATTAATCTAGTTGAGATATACATGACATTTTAAATGGAGGTTAAACTGATGTAAATAAATGCAATTATTTGAAAGCAAACAGGATTCAGTCACATTTATTTCTGCATGGGATTACTGTACATTTTCCCCTGGTGTGTATCACGAACAAACACTGAACCACAGGAATTCCAGAAGGCCGTGGATTTTAAAACTTCCTACCAATGTGAAATTTGACGATATGGCACTGTACTCTTAATTTTATATGATTTGCCTGAGGTGACATCTTGTGTAATTGTTCTTAAGATAATTACCCATAGAACTGCTTAAGCTGGAGGGATGGCAAAAGGTTTGAATTTCACAGGCTTTTTGCTTTGCTAATAAAAAGCTACAGATGAACCCCACGCACGCCTGAGTCCTGCACGCAGGAGCACTGCCGATCCTGACATGGTGGCAGGGCCATGTCAACCTTCCCACAGGGGACTGTGCCCCAGTGGCCGCCATCTCGGGCCTCCCCTGGGGAAAACACCTTCCTGTCGCACCCAGCCAGCCTGCAGCGCCCACCAGCACCCCACCACCAGGCCCTCACCCCTTCCTGGGGAACCCTGCCCTCAGCCAGCCCCGGGAGCCCGCCACGGCCCTCGGCTGCCGCAATGGCCACCGCAGTGGCAGCGCTCCTTCCCACTCTTCTCCACAAGCACCCTACAGCGCTGGCCATCCCACCACTGCCCTCCCTGGCCTCACACCCACCTCCTGCCTCGGGGCCAGCTGCTCTCCAGCTCCACCGGCGGTTTTCTCCATCTTCTTTCCTCAAAGTATCGCCTCCACCTGAGAACAACCACTTCGGCCTCCACCCCGGTGCCTCACAGCCACCATGTCACTGCGGCTCCTCCACCTCGAGGCCCTCCAGGAGAGGCAGCGGCAGACAGCCCCTTCCTCACTCGCCTCTTCTTCGCCAGCCCCTCAGGCTGAGCAGCGGCCTCTCACAGCAGCCCCCTCCCACCATCACAGTCCCCAGCCGATGGGCAGGCCTCAGGCCGCCACAGTGGGGAAATGGCGGGGGGGGGCCGGGGG